CTGGGCTGAGTGCAAAATCAGGCCTTTAGGGCCTGTGACCCTCAAGGTCGGGCCTTTAGGCCCTGGTGTGTCCCTCCGGCCCTAAGTCGGGTCCGGTAGGACCCGTGTGGCATCGAAGATGTAACAACAAGACATGAAAAACATCATGAAGGTTTATGCGGTGCAAATAGCTAGGTAGCTTCACCTCGAAGCTTATCATGCAACTCTGATTAGGTCTAATGGCAACGAAGGATCGTGCATAGTGTGATATAATGACTTCGAAACCTTTGAAGTGTATCCCTCTGGGATGGACGTGCATGGATAAATACCTCCGTCCCAATCTCAAGCGACCAGTACACCAGAGCCTTTTTTGTACGAGGCAGATTCCCACTGTGCGCCAAGCTTTGCCGAAACACCAGCGCAGCGTTTTTGTTTTAGTTTTGGCTGGTGCCCCAGCCCATTTTGATCTGGTTGCCCTGAGCCTCCGATTTCTTCAGAGAGGCGCAATCATGATTCTCAACTTGGCTGGGGCCATGTACTGGTGGTTTAAAGGAGTGATCCATGTAAGAGCAACTGGCTCGAGGGACTATGTGAGTGTCGGAAGTAGTGAGGCAAGCGCAGATACTGTCTAAGACTCCACGTCCTCGCCACTATCCTCTAACTCACAGTTTGTTTGCAACCAGCTCGTCTCCTTCCGCCACTCACGACTGGAATCCCTTCAAAAGGCAGTGTGAGATGAGGTATAGCTGGAGGTAGATAATTGGCATGTGCCGAAGGTAGGTGCTGACAGGGCACCTCTACTGATGTGGCAACATGTCGGGCCCAGTTGCGCATCTGGCGCTCAGATCATCCTGAGCTCCTATGCCAGTGTTAGGCATATGGCAGACCAATTGATTTCAGCTAATTTTCCACTCGCACAGACTGGATTGTAAGCATCTCAGACTTGATTGATAACTTTTCACTGAATTGCAGCCAGAATATCGATGAAACCGAGGCATACTTGTTGACACCTGGGTGCGCAGCCGCTTTGGTGACCATGTGCCAAACAGACTGAAGAATGATGGGAGTTTATGAACCCAAGGAATACTTGTGCACACCTGGGTGCTCAGCCCCTTTAGTGGCCATGAGCCAACATACTGAAGAATGATGGAGTAAATTGTGTGATCTTACTGGCTATGTGTTGTGCACGGCTCTCCTTTTTCCTAGCAGTAAAAATAATGCTGCTTGGTGCCTCCCTTACGCTGAATTGAAACTGATTATTGTACACCAGAATATTGATGAAACCGAGGAATGCTTGTGCACACCTGGGTGCCCAATCCCTTTGGTGACCATGTGTCAAACAGACTGAAGAATGATGGAGTAAACTGTGTGATCTCACTGGCTATGGTTGTGCCTGGCCGTCGTTTTTCCTAGCAGTAAAAATACTGCTGCTCCATTCCTCCCTTGGTCAACTGGTCGCAATGCTGAAGATGAAATATGGCTGCCTAACTCAGGTATTTTGTTGAGCTATGTCTCTCCAAGCTTTATCAGTCCGACTGTCCAAAAGAATCATGATCTATGAGTCTGAAAAGGTTCAAAGCATATCGCAAAAAGAAACTCTACGTAGAGGTCCCAGGTTCATAGGCAGTAAAGCAGCAAAGCAACTGAATGCCAAAATTCCCGAGGCCAACAATTAGTAAAACAGTCCCCGAAACTATACCACGGCAAGTGAAACAGATGCAAAAGCTATGCCGCAGTAAGAAAACCACAAAAATGTTTGTTCTGAAATTGTTGTCATGGGTTAGAGTTTGAATGCTGAATGGAGGCGAAATTGGTGGTTGCAATGGAAAGAGTTGGCTTCTAACCGTTCGTTGGGGATTGTTGTGTTGTGAATTGCTGTTGGAAAGCAGAACTACACTGAGTTTTACCCGCTGGAAGGCAGACTGGCTGCAGGCTACCCCAATGTATGAGCAAGCAGGTAGAGGC